TACAATGAAAGAGGACTTCAGAGTACTGTTAGTAATAGATGAGTACACTCTGCATGCTTCAAATGTTTGAAATTGAGTTTTATTTCAAGTGTCCCTTTTTACCCCATTTCAAGCTTAATTCAGGAGCCTTTTATATTGCGTCTAGTGCCTTACAAATAGCATACCTATGGAATTTTTTTAAGATGCCATTCGATAGCCTTCGCAAAGAAACTTGTTTCTTGAGCCTAGAAACTTGTTTCTGAAATGTTTCATGGTAAGAAGTTATTAACAAAAAACGCTCAAAACCGTCCCTTTTTTGCCCCGTTTGACGGTACATTAGATTGTCTTGGGCTACATTACATTGCTTTAGGTTACATTAAATTGCTTTAGAGTGCAATAGATCGCGTTAGGACGCTATAGATCGCGTTAGAACGCTATAGATTGCGTTAGAATGCAATAGATCACGTTAGAACGCAATAGATCGCGTTAGAACGCAATAGATCGCGTTAGAATGCAATAGATCATGTTAGAACACAATAGATCGTGTTAGAACGCTATAGATTGCGTTAGAACACAATATATCACGTTAGAACGCAATATATCGCGTTAGAACATAAGACCCCGATTGAATGCAATAGATTGCGTTAAAGTGCAATAAATCACCCTAAAATGCAATAGATCACGTTAGAATGTAATAGATCACATTAAAATGCAATAGGTCACGTTAGAATGCAGCAGATAGATTAAGAACACAATAAATCGCGTTAGAACGCACTAGATCGCGTTAGAACGCAATAGATCACGTTAGAATACAATAGAACACGTTAGAACACAAGATATTGCGTTAGAACACAATAGATTGTGTTAGAACGCTATAGATCACGTTAGAATACACTAGAACACGTTAGAACACAATAGATCGCGTTAGAACACAATAAATTGCGTTAGAACACAATAGATTGCGTTAGAACACAATAGATTGCATTAGAACACAATAGATTGTGTTAGAACACATTAGATCGCTTTAGAACACTATAGATCGCAGTAGAACGTAATAGATCGAGTTGGAACACAATAGATCACGTTAGAACACAATAGATCGCGTAAGAACACAATAGATCGCGTTTGAACGCTATAGATCGCTGTAGAACGCAAAAGATCATGTTAGAACACAATAGATCACGTTGGAACACAATAGATCACGTTAGAAAACAGTAGATCACATTAGAACACAATAGATTGTGTTAGAACGCAATGGATCACGTTAGAATACAATAGAACACAATAGATTGCATTAGAACACACTAAATTGCGTTAGAACGCAATAGATCACGTTAGAATATAATAGAACATGTTAGAACACAATAGATTGCATTAGAACACAATACATCACGTTAGAACGCAATAGATCACGTTAGAACATAATAGATCACGCTAGAACATAATAGATCACGTTAGAACACCATAGATCGCGTTAAAACACAATAGATCGCGTTAGAACGCTATAGATCGCGTTAGAACGCTATAGATCGCGGTTGAACGCAACAGATCACGTTAGAACACAATACCTAGATCACGTTGGGACACAATAGATCACGTTAGAACAAAAAAGAGAGCATTAGGACACATTAGATCGCGTTAGAACACAATAGATTGACAAGTTTTTTTTAGCAGTAGCATTGGGCACGCCAGACGTATGCACATTGTGATCGAGTGACAGATACAAGCAATCAAACAAGCTGAAGATGTGCGCGGTGACAGGCGGGGCTGATCGAGCAATCTATAGTTTATGATCGGACATCTGTCATGGCTGCCTGAGCCATAGTTTATGATCGGCCATGGACGCCGATTTAAGGTCAAGGTGACTGATGGAGAGCTTGAAAAGACGCCAATATCTCGAGCTGAAAGGCCCTACTTTACAGCCTGGCTTGAAATCAGCAAATACAAGTATACTTAAAGGATTCCTAATATAGTCACAGATGTATTTAAAAGTCTCAAACCATAATATTCTTTCTACACAAACAGTTTATCACTATTTGGTAGAGCAAGGTCAACTATCAACTTTGACACATTTTTCGATATTCTCACTGGGTGACGTGCACTGTCTCTCTTTGGATCTCAATATTTTCCTGCCAGATGGCCCAGACCTAGTGTTTTGGCAATAGTATGGCACGCAAAATTACAACGTCACTATTTCAACCATCAACAAATGCATGGAACTAAGAAAAAGCTTAATATAAAGGAAAAAAGTCAAAGTGTTGGAATTACCCATGATGTCGGAATACACCGCCTTTACCCTAGGCTAATTAGAATTGTATCTTGAATACCAGCATTATCATTTCACTCATTTGTAAGAAATTTTTAAAATGTTGATTCAGTTCAGTTCTCTCTGCGCCATAAGGTGCACAACTTTCATACCGTAAAATGGGGTAACTTAGACCGGCGGGGTAACTTAGACCACTTTTCGTTTTTTTAACAAAAACCCCCAAAACTCAAAAACTATTTGATATAGAAAAATTTTGTGAATGGGCATTAAAGGCCTAATACTGAGGCTACATAACACAATAGAAAGATTTGAAAAGTTTGCATATCTAATAGGTTAAAAAATTAAAAATGTGACCCACGAAAAAAAGCCTGTCAGAGTAGAAGAGTTCTACTACAATGCACCAAAATCTGGAGTTATTTTACCAAAAAATATAATTGATTTTACCACCCGGTCTAAGATAACCCAAGAGCTGGGGTAACAAAGACCATCACTTTTTTTGAAATTACATAAAGACTATGAGAGGCAGGAGCCAGCAATTTATGGTGCGTAAAGCTAGAGTATAGACCTGTATTTTGCATGATTCAATTCAAGTTTAATTTAGCTAGTAAAAAATGGCATCATTTATAAAAAAAAGTGCTCTAAGTTACCCCATTTTATGGTATTCCCCATGATACTTTACTGGTCTACTTATAGGACTAAAAAACGAGCTTGAGGAAGAGTCTGAAAAAAAATCACTGCTTTGCCACTATGCCAGCACATGGCCTGGACATCACTCATTCACTCCTCTACTGGGTCCGGTTCGCAGCTGCCTGCCGTGCTTTGTTTCACAAGTTCCAGCCTGCTCTGTTTCCAGACTGGAATATGAGGCAGATTTTTCAGAATACCACAGGTAAAAAGGGGCTCTTCAATGGTGAAGTTGGAAAATAGTGGATAAAATTTTCATCCTCCTGGGTGCTTCTCGAAAATTGCGGGTGAGAATTTACTGTTCTCGGGCGATTTTATGAAATTGCGTGTGAACAGCTGCTACCTACCGTCTCTCAGCGTCTAGCGCCAAGCCGCCAAATGAGAGGTGCGCCACCATATACCAGCAAATTACCTCAAATCAGCCCTGGAGCCAACATCAACCTTCTAAATGCTATTGATATAGTCATCCTTGCAGTGGCACCTAAGCAGCTGTACTCAATTGACCCCTTGTACCACTCAAACTTTAAACCAACAATGCTTCAGCTCACAAGCTGCTATTCCACATATTTAACAGTTGATACATTGTTCTCCTTCTCCAATATTTTTCAACCCAAACCATCCCCTCGACGGATTGGATCCCTGGCAAGCGTATCTGCGTCTGTATATGATAGTCATTAGTTGGAAGGTTCTACAGGCAATTAAATTGAAAACACTGGTTGTTGGGTCATTACTATGGAGTTCTTAAAAAATTAATGTACCTAGTAGTAAATAGATAATAAATAGCTACGATACAAAAGTCACTTGTTTTAGTTGTATAACATAAATAATCATCAGAATACTTCAGGCAGGGTGGCCCAGTTGTTGAAGCTCAAAGTACCAAAATTGGAGCAGACATGTGCAGGTTCAATCCTGGCTCTGCATGTGTGCCAGTTTCTGGTCAGAATTGACAAGAAGGAGCAGTCAAGCAAAATTGGGGCAGTGAGTTGTGTGTTCAAGACCGCAACAAGCTGTGAATGTTCTGCGTTGTTAAGAATAGGCAGCAGGCATATGGCCTCATAAATGCTGAAACTGTGATTTTTTTTTATTATCATATTGCTATTGTTTTTTGTTAACATTTAAGCATACCGCCTTCAATTTGCTGGGCTGTATTTATCCAACTTGGTCAAATGGCCGCGTATTCTTAATCATGTGCATGTAGGTATTCTTATTATTGTGTTCTAATAATGTAAGTGTCCATGTGCCATCAACCAGGGCTACTCGGGACGATTTCGAACATTTTTCATTCATAACTTCTTACCATGAAACATTTCATAAACAAGTTTAGACTCATTTCAAAGCTCTTTGCAAGGGCTATCACATGGCTTCTCCAAAAAAATTCCATATGCTATTCGTAAGGTGCCAGAAGCAATAAGCTACATAGATAGTAACTATCTTGAAGTTTACGCCACTATTTTTAGTTATGCTATATTTCAATAAGTTTTGTTTCTATAACATTTTTGTACCATGGCAGAGGACTGTCCCAATTTACCATCCTCTTCCTTTATTACCCGCTTGAAGGTAGATAGGAAAAATGTTGAAGTTTATGTCACTATTCTTAGTTTTGCAATATTTTGATTGGTTTCACTGCTTTAACAATTCTATGCCATGATGGAGGACTGTTTCAATTTACCTTGCTTGTCCCTTATTACCCCGTTTTACAGTAGTGGTCTCCCTGCCAAATTTCTCCAGTTTTGAGTGGTCAAAATACTGGAGTGGCTCTTGCTTTGTTGCCAGAGTGCCCTGCGCTTCATATGTCACTTTCCCCTCATAAATGCAGGGAGGCGTGACTAATTATACCTACTTGCATAAAGAAGGAATTTACAATTTGAAATTTGTTGAATGTTGTTAGTTCCTCAATTTATTCAGGGAATACAAAGAAAAGTAGTGTCAAAGTTGTCATTCCAAATATATTTATATTTTTTGTAACTATTTTTTTCATTATAAAATGCAATCTTCTTGCAAAATGGGCATTGTAATTATCACTTGCCTCTTTAAGAGTTAATATATAGTATTTTATTTATATATATTTTGCAGGTATCTCATGACCATGGCTAAGTGATTATGCTTTCTAGTTAGTATTTTAATTTAGATGACATGCCTAAACTTTAGTTTTTGGGCAATCTAGTTCTTTATTTTTTAGTTGCATTTAGTTTGAATATCGCCTGAAATGAATAATCACTCGTCCCGCAATAGCGGTGGTCCTAGAGTTGTCACAATCCACAAAAGTGAAACAGGCTTTGGCTTCAATGTGCGAGGCCAGGTCAGCGAGGGCGGTCAGTGGAGGCCCATAAATGGAGAACTGTACCCACCACTGCAGCATGTCTCTGCGGTGCTGGAGGGTGGTGCTGCTGAGAAGGCTGGAGTGAGAAGGGGGGACCGAATCTTGGAAGTGTGAGTCCATTTACCTGTAAGATAGCATGTGATAACTGGTTTTGAAACATTTTATATCTATACTTGCATATCAATGTCTATCAGTCTACATTCAAATTAGAATGAATTAGCAGATGTGACATGCTCTAGAAAGTATAATTTTCTTAGAAGAACTTGGCTCTGATGTGGCTCTGATACTTAGGGTGGATCTTTGTTGTTGCTTAAGTCTTGTCTAAATCTTGTCACCTAAGATCTTATTTTTTTAATTAATTCTTAATTTCTTCACTATACACACTGTTCAAAAATGTGTTCAGATTTTGTAGACAAAATCAGATGCATATAAAGACTATGTATAAATATAAATGTGAATAGATTATTTTCAAATTATATAATGTAGACTTTGATCACACCATGAGAACAATTAATATCTGTGCAGTAATGGGGCCAGCGTTGAAGGTGCGGAACATCGCTATGTGGTGGAGCTCATCAAGCAAGGGGGGGATGCTCTCAAGCTAACTGTAATATCTGTCTCACAGAAGGTTGGGGCTTCTCGAATGTTCATTTTCTATTACTTATACTTCTGCTAATAGCTGATAGATTTATGTAAAGCAGAGAAATTTGTATCTTTAGATTATGTTTGTAAATTTTACAGTATATGTGATTTATACTTTCTGGATTATTTTCATTCATTTATTTATATTCTTTTGTATAAATTGAATTCATTTTTAGTTATTTCTTAGGATAAATTATGCTCTTAAAAAATCCAAGGAAAAATTACATGTGAAAAGAAGCAAATATTTTTTATACTGTTATACTATACTATTTTCTATACTCCTAAACTATAATATTTTCTATAATGTTATACTATACTATTTTCTATACTCCTAAACTATAATATTTTCTATAATGTTAAAATATAATATTTTCTGGATGTACTGTTATTATACTACCGTATACTATTTTCTATACTGTTAAACCATACTATTTTCTATAGGTACTGTTATACTACCGTATGCTCTTTTCTATACTGTTATTCTATACTATTTTCTATTCTGTTATAGGTTAGGTTAGGTTAAAATATAGGAACAAAATACTAGGTAGGTAGTATTTTGTTCCTTTGAAAGAAGAATGGTCATTTACGAGCAGCAGGATAGAAGCCTGTGTCAAGATGTGTCTAACTGAACACATTATTCACCTGAATATTAATAACTTGTTCAATATTACAGGAGGCCGAGCGTTTAGAGCCTAGTGATGAAACCTCCGGGTTCTCCTACATTGACTACAGCGAGAAGCGCTCCCTGCCTATATCTATTCCTGATTATTCCCTGGTGGAGAACAGGACGGGAGAGAAATATGTAGTTTTTAATATTTATATGGCTGGCAGGCATCTATGTGCCAGGAGGCAAGTCTTTTTCTATTTTATAAGACGAATTTTAATTTTCATTGCAGTAGTCGAGATAATTTGTTTGCACATAAAATATAAATTGACCCATACCATTATGTTAGTTCCATTAGATGCTAAATTTTAATAGGTGCTGGGTTGTGCATGTTGATCATTGAGCTTAAAAGCATAATGTGATGCATGTACCATCATTATAGTACACTCGTTCTTACGGTACGGTATACGGTATGTATTTCCTGTCAAACTTTTTTTTGTTATGGATTAGTTGTCCCAGAATTTCATGCTAAGTTTTTTTTATATCTATTAATAAATGCCCTTTTTTCAGTGAATTTTGCTTGTAATACATACAATGTATAAATTAAGCAAAATTCAAATGGATCATTTTAATAAGAGTAGTGTGTGCATTTTGTGTCCAGCCTGAGACAAAGATGTTCAGGAAATGTCTGATGTCAACTTTTTCCAGATATCGTGAATTTTCGAGCCTTCACAACGAGCTTAAGAAGGAATTCCCTGACTTCAACTTCCCTAAACTTCCTGGCAAATGGCCATTCACGTGAGTTTTCCAAGAAGTTTACCGTCAAATGGTCAAGGTTTGTACGAGCTTAATATATTATGTATTAGATAACGGTGTTGAATCATGTTGATGTAATAAAATGGCTGCCTTAGCAAAACTAGAGGTAATATGATATTAATAACATGCCAGCATGAATGATCATACATGATGATGTAGAGGTGGCAGACTTAGGTATAAAAAATAAATTTGGCTTTTTGATTATACCAGTAAAGTGTGTAGGCCAGTGTAGATCAACACTAGGGCCCAGTGATATTATGGACCTACATGCTAGGGCCCAGTGATATTATGGACCTACATACTAGGGCCCAGTGATATTATGGACCTACATACTAGGGCCCAGTGATATTATGGACCTACATGCTAGGGCCCAGTGATATTATGGACCTACATACTAGGGCCCAGTGATATTATGGACCTACATGCTAGGGCCCAGTGATATTATGGACCTACATGCTAGGGCCCAGTGATATTATGGACCTACATGCTAGGGCCCAGTGATATTATG